CAATACACATACCCTTTGAGGTTGTTACTGGGATTGTTTAAGTAGCATACATGCCACCTTTAAAATACTTCAAATTTAAGGCCTTCGTGACTAACCATTTTATTGAAATCTCTTTCTAAATTTTAATGTCTCCTACCTGCCCCTTGGATGTTGAACCTAAATATAGTGTGGCACTATTAGTGGCTCAGCTTCTGGCATTTGAAATAGCTCCTGCGTTTTACTTAAAACTAGTCAAGAATAGCCTCTCCTCTTGTATGCTCCACAACTAGCCTTTAAGAAACTACCACTGAAGTGCTGAGAAACTATTTCCCTAAACTGTGTCTTCAGTAGTTTATATGTGGGTAGCTGAAGTCCCCATTATCATCAATGTGATAGATTTTGCTTCCTCTTGGTAATTTTTTTTTTAAATCTGGAGGCTGGTAGTATTTCCCTACTAATATTTACATTCTTACAGGTTGGGATTTGTATCCACATAGATGCAGCTGTGTACTCCTCTCCACTCAGAACTGTTATCTCGCTAGGATCTGTGGAATCCTTTAGATACAGCTCTTCTCCTCTACTTCTTCGACCTGGTCTGTTTTTCCTATGTAGTTTATAACCAGGTATTATAGTGTCTCATTGGCTTTTGTCATTCTACTAAGATTCTGTAATGACTGTTCTATCAATATCCTTGTCTATTGCAAGGCATTCTAGTTTATTTATTTTTTGCTTTTAAACTTCTTGCATTTGCATACAGGCATTTGCAGTTTTTATTCTTGACTAGGTGCCTGTTTTTATTTAACTCCTTAATCTGGCACCTTGATGATTTTACAGAATTTACCTCTGTTCTTATCCTGTCTCTGCACTAGTTCAGTTGTAATTTGTATCCTACTCTTTGCTGGATACTCAGACACCATTGTATTACAGATGCCTTTAACAGATGTCTCTGTCCAAATTTAGTGCTCAGCTCGTGCCAGTGTTCCCTCAGCTCTTAGTTTAAATACTCCCTCAATACCTTATTTATTTTACATGCCAGCAGTCAGCTTCTGTTTTGATTAAGGAGGATCCCAAAAACCTCTGTATATGCTTTTCCTTCCCCAAAATACCCTCCAGTGCCTAATAAACTTAAATCCCTCTTCTAAATCATGCACTGAGATCCTGCAGTTCCTTCTGCTAAACTGGATTGCCTAGTAACATGGCTTACTCCACAATGCAAGTAATAACTCAAATAATTAAATCAGAATCCCTACTTTAGAGAACAGACTCCAGAAGGGAAGAGCAAGCACCACTGGATGCTATCACCACAGTCTGTACGGGCACATCAACTCACTAGAAATTGACACAAGACAAGGTTTTTCCTATATTTCCAGTAGTTTTATTCCTAAAGGTATAGACAGAAAACAATCCACAAACTCCTTTGTCAACAATGAACATTAATAATTCAACTTGTAATAGGTGAATTTTATATCCTGTTCTGAATTCATCCTGAAGTGTAAATGGTTCTCAAAGACCCCCACCAGCTAATTAATAACAATTGATGTATTTACTATTTAAGCTGCACCCAGAGGACTATTAGTGAGCCTAACCCTTGCTCACAGCCTTTAAAATGTTATTTAAATTGGTGAGACTTGGTATACACAATATATATTCATCATGATGGACTCAGTGCAGATCATGTAGGTATTTTATAAAGTTCTTGACATCATAATGAAAAATCTATCTATATCTCCAGTATTAAAGGAAACCAAATGCCAACTGTGCCATTGACTTGGTAAACAAAATCAATTTCATAGTTCAACTGTCATTTGCAGCTCCTTTAACTGATCCAAGTCACATAAGAGAGTCTGCAGACATAGCGTATGGGCATGTTCTAGCCATGGTTCACCGAGTCCTAGTAATACATTCTGTGCTTTTTTGTGAGTGCTTTTTTTTAAAAAAACAATATTAAATTTGTTGATTGCTAGCACTGAGCGTTTTAGAAACTGCAAAAGAGGAGACATTACAGCTAATCAAATGAGAAACTATGACCAGTAAAAAACAGAGTTTCCCTTCCCTTATCAAAAAGCCATCAAATGTCAAAGTGAGCTGTAATTTATTGAAAGATGGATTCTCACTTTGCACCTAATCCTCGTGAGCCCCATCTGCAGAATGCTGCTCGACTGCATTTATGGGAGCTCCTGTGAAGTACTCAGTATTCTGAAGGCATGGGCATTTTGTACCTGCAATCATTAGCTCTAGTCAGAAAGTACTGGATGAGAGACTTGAAATATTAGTGTACACACTCTCTCACAGACATTTTAACTCTTTATAGCATACCTTGGTCAAGTCAAAAAGCTACAAAAAGCAAAAGATTTGAAACCACAGTTCACAAGGGAGAGAGGAATCCCTTTTTTAAAGAAATATATGGCTTCAGTATTAGAAAACATCAGCAATTCTAAAACAAAAAATTGATATTGATATTGTTTAATATTTGTAAGGTTTTTTCCATACGAAAGACCCTTTTTATTCATTTTGATCTTGACTTCAAAACAGAGCTACATATTTTAGCAGTAGCAGAAAAGGTCAGGATTATAGGATGAGGCTCAGCACCGCCTACTAAGGTTGCGCAGCACTTCCGATTACAAGACTCTGTTTGTCAGACTTTAACCATCCAGGCTGGAATTTTTCATGCTGGGTGTCTACCTGCTAAATCTTTCTGGAAAATTTCAGTCAAAACAGTTGAGCTGTTTCCAAGAATGAGGAAAGGAACTGAGGAGTCAGGGGCAACAGATCTGCTGTGGAGCTGGATATGGGGATAGAATTGGATGGTCAAAGACATGCGGACAAGAAGCCGGGGGGGAGTAGGAGACTAAGGAGGAATATCAGGACAGAGGTAGTGGGAGTGGGGGTAATTGGAGGTCAAGGTGGGGGGAAACAGACATATCCAATGAGAAGCTGGGAGGGGAAAACTGGTACCAGCTGAGACTTTAACTGGATAGGCAAGGAGACTAGGATTAGGAGCCAGGAGTGAGGAAGAGACAGAACTGGGACAGGGTCAGATTGGAGGGAACCTGTGCCCACTACAGCAAACTCCCATCCAGAGCCTGGAATGGAATTCAAGATTTCTGAGTCTCACCATTCCTTTGGTGACAGCAAACATCTGTGAAACCGAGTGGCAAAGTGTCCAATTCATCTCTTTGCTGGTCCACATAGACGATGCCATTCTATTACTGCTATCAGTTCTCCTTTAGCACAAGTGGCAGAGGTCTATGTGGTGGATCTAAAGGTTTTAAATCCTGTTGATGAACCATGTGGGTGTCACAATGATACCACATGATAGAATTTCAGTTTTTTATTTTGCTTTTTCAAAACCTTAGGAAATTATACACAGAAAGCTACATTAAAGGAACATTATGGTTGTAAAGTCAAGCACTCAAAAGTTAGTATTTGATCAAATAATATGTGATCATGTAATCAAAGAGTGTCTCATAATGCATATGCACAGCAGGGTCAAATTAAGACTGCAAAGACAACCTTAATTCTAGCATTTCTTAACTTGAGAGTATTAGACTTTACAACCTTAATAATGTTCTTTTAACATAGTTATTTTGATGGGTATATAAAGGTACCATAATGAGAAACCTCACTGCTCCACTCTGCTAAAAACGTCCAAGTTTTAAAGTGACATTTGGTACGGATAAGCAGTAATTTACTGAAAGACATTTTGTAGCTGCAATCTTTCACTGTCTACACTCACATGGAATTCCAATGGAGGTAGCAACACTGGCAGTGCTAGCGGAAACTGGAGACACAGCGGTGGTAACCTATGATGCCTAATCTTGTAGTCCTGATGACATGGTGGTAACACTAAACCTTGTCTACATTAGCATTTGCACTGTTGCTAACACCAGTGGAGTTGCACCACTGCAAAAATTGTAGATTTTCTCCCCAAAATGCTAGAGTAAATACAGTCTTTTTGACCATGAAAGAACTAATCTGTCACATAAAATCATAATATGAGAAACCATGAAGTAGGTCTTTTGGATAGGTATTTATTGACCCCTTACCTCATTTGGTGGAACAGCAGCAAAAGGTTTGATAATAGCAGCCAATGGAATCTGAGCTTGTTTGGCCATATCGGAAGAGGATGGGAAGCAGTAGGCAGTACATCGAATATAACGAGGGCTGGCATTGCCTAAAAGAACATATTATGAGCTGGGTTATATAGGATAGATTGATTTAAATTAAAGCAATTTAAATCACCATTTTAAATCATGATTTAAATCAACAAGCAGGAAATCTTGATTTAAATAATGAATTTTAATTGTGTTCTGAATTTGCACTTTTCAGTTATTTTCTCAAAGAAAAGTTGATTTTCATTGCTTAGTAACAATTAGAACATTTGATTTTCAGCCTTTACATAATTCTGGTGCTTCTTTTTGCTAGCCAGGAGGATAAACTGTATCTATATACATTTTAGTAGATGATGAAGAACATTTTACTTGCTATTAGTGTCAAAATAGCATTTTATTTTATTAAATAAAGCTACATTAAATGTGCTGAATATGTATGAAAAAAGTTTATCAAAACATGTTCTGCATTTAAAAATAATTTATTAAACAAAGGAAGTGTTATCCATAGTTAGTGACTGGAACTGTTCCTGGTTACCACGTCCTTCAAGATTTTAGAAGTTGTAGGTCTCCTCCCTCACACCTACCTTTTATTCGAAGGTTAGAAGAGGAAAACAAGCTTTCCTACTTTTCTCCAACTTCCAACTGATTTCTTAACTTTTAATAAACTAATCATTGAACTGAACTAGTTGAATAAATTGAAATAAAGAAAATATTTTCCCTGCACCTGGAAAAAGAGGCTACTGCTGGGTTAGCACTTCAACAAACTCTAGTTCCACGTGCTCAGCCAGTGACTTCCAGCAATGGTTTGACTTTCTTTATAACTTGGCAAACATGTTGCTTGAATTATTTTTAACTTGAATTTAAATGATTTTAACAGATTATAATAAGTTTTGATCTTAACATAGGTTTCAATTTCAAATTTAATTTTAAATAGGTTAATTTAAAAAAAAGCCTGTATTTAATTTAAAATTTTAAAAAATCCCATTTTTTTTTATTTAAAAAAAAGTCATGGATTCTTATCCACACTGGGGTTATAAGAGGAAAAAAAAAAAGACAGGAATGCAAAGTGACAATTCAAATGTAAACACTGAACATAAAATAAATACACTAGCAAAAGCTTCCTCCTCTTCCCATGTGAGCTTCGGTACACTTTCCTCTCATAGGCTATCAGCCTACTACACCTCTTCTTCATAGGCTTTCCTCACTGTTTCAGCGTACTAAAGATATTTAAAGTTAATTGGGGCAAGAACCTTGTTTTATTTCAGTACTTGTCAGTGTCTTCCACATATATGTTGCTGTATCATTAATAATTATTCCCGGCATGAATACGCTATTGATGCTCTAGTAGAAAACATTTAGTGTGGGAATCGTGGCTGGGATCTCAAAAGGAACCCTATGGAGCTGGGCTCCCAACTGCCAGTGAAAGTCAATGGGAGCTGGGCATCTCAGTCTCAGACTCCTTTTAAAAGTTCAGCCTGAAACTGTACTTAGTTATTTGGAAGAGACTTCTTTGCTTAAAAAACAGTCTCTCCCTTCCCCTCCCTCCCTGCCCTCCAAAAAGCGGAAGAATATGTAGTAATACATTTTACCCAACCAGACTTTATCCAAACACAGATAAATGAATGCTGAGCTAATGGCATCACAAATTTAATTTACATGAGGGAGAGTCTTATATTGAGTTATAACATGCACAAATTCTGCCATCACAAAATGCGTGTGGAAGTTGAGATTGGCAATCACTCTACCTGGGGGACCGGCAGATTGCCAAGAAGGAAATGGCTGGAGCTACACAAACAAGAGGAAAAACTGAACCCAGCGACTGAGCTTGTACTCTGACCATGTAGTCTGAGCCTCAGGAATAGAAATGGACAGTATACTACAAGTTAAACTTGGCAAGTGTCAGTTTTTTAACCTTATATTCCAGCATGGACTCACCAGTGAGTCTGCATGATTCCTTTAATCATTACTTTCCCTGCACAGGGGGAGGTGAAGCGGATTCCTTAATTAATTAGAAAAAATCCTCACAGCTATTCCCACTATTTTATACAATTAAACTACTCAAATATTTTATTTCAAATGAGAAGATTGAATAAAATGTTATTCATATTTCATAGTTGAGAGTTATTCTTGTAACTGAAATATGCTTATTATAAATCCCAACAGTTCTGGGGAAGGATACAGCGTATATTCCTTGACAATGTCCTGCAGCACATGGAAAGCCAGCCAGGTTACCCCTCAAATGCAGTGCTTTTAGGGTGTGCAACTCTTGCTATGAAGTTAAGGAATTCTGAACTATGACATGAGTTTAAGTGTGGATTGTAGGGCTCAGGGTTGCTATTATTCTCAGGCTTTTTTGATTATGTTATTAGGAAAAAGGATGACTCCTGTCAGGTTAAAGGTTCTGCTTGGAGCTCACAACTATGTTTATCTTTCCACTCTAGATGCTATGTTGTTTTGTTACGAAGGAGCTGGCAGTACTAAGGGCCGGATTCTGAGAGGAGCAGAACACTCCACAATTCTCACTGTCTATACTGGAGGAGCTGTCAGTCACTCAGCCTCTGCTAGAGCAGACAGCCCTCAAATAGCACAGCAAGGCCACGATCCTGCAAACACTTTGGCATATGTATAATCTCAGTGAAGCCAAATGTTAAAGCCAATGGGAGTATTCAGGAATGTAAAACTAGGCATGTGCTTATGGTGTATGCAGGGTTGAGGTCTAAAGATCCTCAGTCAATTCTGGTACTCAATATTTCCGTGTTACAAGCTTGCATTTCTCTCTCTCTCTCCCTCAATTTTTTTATACGCAATACTGCCATGGAAATACAGTAATGGTGACTGCATTGCTCTGAACTATTAACATTTAGTATTGTCATTTCTCTTCCATGCTACCTTAACTCGTAGGGTTAAAAAGAACAATTAGCAATGTTTTACAGACACAACCGAGACAATGGAAATGAAGGTGCATTAAGGATACATCGAATGGGTTTTGCCTTTTATTTATGGCACAAGCATCTAATTAGTATATATCTTTTAAAAAGTGCTGAGCAACCATATATTCCATTAAAAAGAACAGGAGTACTTGTGGCACCTTAGAGACTAACAAATTTATTAGAGCATAAGCTTTCGTGGACTACAGACCACTTCTTCGGATGCATACAGAGTGGAATAAATATTGAGGATATATATATATATATATATATATATATATATATACACACACA